GGTTATTTTGGAGCTCAAGCAGTCTCATTTCCAGAGAAGTACTTCTTATGGTAAATGAGTTAAATGCCTACTGCTTTGGACATCAGCAGCATTAATGCAGATAGTGAGTTAATATTCATTAGATCCCTTCTAAATTTGTCATCAAAAACCCTACACACTATGGTAAATTAACAATGCATCCCTTTGGGTCCTCTTCAGGACAGTAAACTACCTACAAAATAGAGTCCAAATTCGTGAGCATAGTATTCAAGGTCCTTCAAAACCTAGCTGAACTCTACCTCTCCAGGTTTATCGTTCAACATACTTCTCACCCATGAATGATTCATCTCCTGGTCCTGAATAAACCCTGCATTTTATTTAGTACTGGTGTGTGTGGGCATGTGTGTGTATGTTTTAACATAAATGATACTCTACTATGACTGTAGTTATGAATCTTACTTTTTCTGTTCAACAACAAATGTCCTTGAAGATCATCCCTTGTTAGGCACATGTAGTGATCATATTCTTCTTAATGGCTATAAAGCATTCTATAATAAATTCCTATCACAGTTAATTGAGCTATTTCCCTATCCAGGGATCACTGATACATGTATTACCATATATACTATGGCAGTCCCATACATAATGAAGCTGAAAAATTCCTATTGCCTAGTGATGCTGTTGTTATCATAATGTTATAGCACAATGCATTAGTCACATTTGTGGTGATGCTGGTGTAAACAAACCTACTGCGCTGCCAGTTACATAAAAGTATAGTACATATAGTTACGTATAGTACATAATACTTGATACTGATAATAAACAACTATGTTACTAGTTTATGTATTTACTATACTATACTTTTCATCATTATTTTAGAGAGTACCCTACTTGCTAAATAAAAACTTTGGTATAAAACAATATGCCATGTTACACTGGCAGCAAACTCATATACTTTATCATTACTGCATCTCTTGATTGCATCATTTTCTCTTGTGCTTAAGTTAACCTCGTGCTGTTTTGTACAGTAACATACCGTACAAGTTTGTAGTCTAGGGGCAATAGGCCATACCATGTAGATACATCCTAGGGTTGAAGTACACCATACCATAGAGGTTTGTGTAAGTACACTCTATATGACATTTGCACAGAGACAAAATTGCCTAACACTGCATTTCTCTGAATGTATCTCCATTGTCAAGCAGCACATGATTGTACTGAACCTTTAGTATGTAATAGAAGTTATGCTAAACATTTTACATGAAATTTCACTAAATCCTTACAACTCATTTTATAGAAGAGGAAAATGAGGTTCAAGAAAGCTAAGTATCTCATTTGAGATGGATTATTTACATAGTTTTAAAGTAGCTCCCAGATATTTATTGATTACAAAGTAAAAAATAGCAACTTTATGGTGGAGAAACCTGGCAGACACCTCCTTAAACCACATGATCAAAGTTAATGTCATCAGGAATAAAACATATCAACATCATGAACTTCTGATATAATGCACTGAGGCGAACACAATTTTGTGGAATTATTGTCAAAAATGCATAACTTCAATCTAATTATGAAAAATATTAGATCTAAATTGAGAGACAGTCTACAAAATAACTGAGCAATACTATGTAAACTGTGACAGTCATGGAAGACCAAAAAAAAAAAACAAAAACAAAAAAACTAAATAACCATCATAGATTGGAAGAGACAGGACAACTAAATGCAGTATGCAGATCACAGGGCAACTAAATGCAGTATCCAGGTCCTGGTAAAAGGATAATAATGGGAAAACTGGTAAGACTCTAATAAGATCTATAGTTTAGTTAATAGTATTATACCATTGTTAATTTGATAATTGTACAAATGGTTACATAAAATGTTAACATTGGGGAAAGTTGGGTGAAAAATATACAGAACTTCTCAGTACGACTTTGCAACTCTTCTGTGATTCTAAGTTTTTTTCAAAACCAAGTTTTACGAAACCATAATTGTTGCAAAAAGGAGGGAGGAGTGAACAGGGAGAGAAAGGGGAAAGGGAGAAAAAAATGTTAGATAACTTGCCAAGGTCACCCTGCCAGAAATTGAGGAGAGCCTGGTTTTGACCTCAGGCAGCCTGACTCAGTAGTCCTTCTGTGCATGAAAAGAGGAGATGAAAGGAAACTCTTATCCAACAGAAACAGGGAAGCACTACTTATCAAACCATTGCATTTTTCCAAAATTTTGTACTGAAAATGAACTGAACCAGGTATGTTGGTGTTAGGTAAGCATAAACATCATTTTTAGACAATGAAGTAAATTCTTTTGTAAAATAAAAACGACCTCAATATGTACACACACAAGATAAAACAAACAACCAAAAGCCCCAACATAAAATATTCCTTACTTCCGTAAACTGAAAGTGATGGTCCTCATCACCTTTACAGTTGTCCTAAAACATATAGTTTTTAATTTTCTCAAAAACATCTTGAGGACTCTTCCTCATTAAATTAATTTTCAGGGGAAATCATTAACTATTAAGAGTCCAGCTTTTTAAAATATCATTCATATTTTTAAGGAATAATTTTTTAAAAAATAAGTCACTATTTTAGAGTTTAAAGGCTATATAAGCAACTTGAGTGTAAGAAAGTGGCTGACCCGTCATCACCATGCAAACTACCTATAAATGCAGGTGCTTAAAGAAAGATCAAATTAATGTTTCTTGATAGTATAGGCATTATTTGGAATACCACATAAGAATCAGAGAGTATTTTTGAAAAATGACAGTACACTCACATTATATATAATATGAGGGTAAAATTTAGCTTTATGACAAAACATTAGATTCTTATACAAAGATACTATAAATAATAAATAGATGATAATTCAATAGGTAACTAACTAAATTATAGAATATATAGAGTTCCATATAGTTATTAGAAGCTCACTAAAAAGGTTTGGTGACATTAAAAATACCAGTCTGCCACACATGTAAAAAGTGATAAACGCACCACAATTTCAAAACACTGAAATGCATGGTAAGTTTTAGGCAACTATTATTTTCTTCTTTATTTTTCTTATTTGACACATTTTTTACAATGAACATTTATATTAGTTTAAAAATTCCTTTGAAGATTCTTTACAGGCATGATTAAAACTGATTTGACACCTACACAAAATCCAAATATGCACACAAATGCCTTTTATATATGTCACTAAAGAACATGGTAAAAAAATCATTTTTTAAAATATCATTTATCTAATAAAATGTTATAATAAACATTAAAACAGAGTAAGAAATATAAATATATATATATATTTACCTCCTTTGAGTGATAAGTACATACTTAAAAATACCTCAATATATAAGATACATCAAAATTATATATTCTGCTACAAAATAAGTGCAGCACTTGAACTTATCCAAATTAAACCATGCCTCCTGAAATATAAATTATAATTCCTTACAATGTATGTTATCCTAATACATGCTAGGGATATATAGTTGGGAGGAAGATAAGTATTCCCAATGAGTGTTGTAAAAGATGCCACTAACTTTTTGTATAACTGTTTTAAAGGCAATGAACAACAGTAGTCTACTTAGAAGCAGTATCTGCAGACACACACACATGGAATGCTGAAGCATCTATCACCTTGTCTCATCATGTCAAACCATCAGAGAGTAATAGAATTGTACTAACTTGCAAGAGCATTAGTATAAATGAGTAAGTATTAAGAATTCAATCCATCAAAGATACACTGTTCCTGTTTGCAAAACCGCTGATTGCACTTTTGACCCTGAAACCCCAACCTGGAACAAACTTACCACACAGCACAGATCACAAAAGCACACAGCTTAGAGCCTGATATATGAGGTTGCATTCTGGCTCTTCTTCCTAGCTTCCTAGTGTGTCTTGGGCAAATAACAACATCTCTGGTCCTGTTTCCTCATGGGAAAACTGTAAAATGGAGGTAACAGAACCTATCTATTATGTTACAAGCTTTAAAAGAACTAATGCTTGTTAAGCATTTTACAGTGTATGGCATAGTTAAGTGCTCAGAAAAAGATTTATAAGAATGTATATAGTATTAAAATTACAACACATTAACCTAAAAAGCATGTTGCTGGTGATCTTTGGTAAGAGCAGCCTTATATATATCCGTAAGGGTCTTTTTTTTTTAAAGTATAGGTGACATACAATATTATATTAGTTCCAGGTGTACAACAAACATAGTGATTTGACATTTATATGCCTCAAGTGTCTATTGCAAAACCTGTGCTACCTTCAGCACCTTATTGTGAAACCACTTTGATGCTCAACAACATGATACAGAAGGCACATCTTTATTACAAGCCTACTGAATCTTCTGTATTTTTGTATAGTCCAAAGCAAAAGAAACGAACAATTAAGACAAAAATTGGTGAACACCAAGTTCTTGAACATAGGCTACCAGAGGACAATTTTCATGACAGCCAAATGAAGAACCACCAATCATTAAATGCACAAAATTATATTTTCTGAAATAACAAAGAAAAGGATGAATATCCTGAAGATAAACTTACTGCTATCTCATTTATTGAGAAAGCCACGATGACCTCTGAAATGAATGATACCCCAAAAAAGGTAAATTTTGGTATACAAATTATATATAATATTCATTTTTTAAAAATCCCTATACTGAGAATGTCAAACTTATCTTAAACAAAATGGAAGTAAATGCTAAATAATTCAAGTATTTTCAAAATAGTTTTCTATATTGTTTTAAATAATCTGTTACTCTTTTAGATGTCTCAAATATAAGTTGTTGTATTTAACTTATAGTAATAGTCTAATGGCTGTGTTCTTTAGTGGACACTAGTGTGTTTGGGAACAATCATTTTAAGAAAGACATATTCAAAATGCATGCAAATAGGTAACAATAAATAGTTAATATCTCTTCCATTATATTTTTCAGTATTTTCTCAATCAATAAAATGGAATGATCCAGCTTCTATGCCACAAACATAATTAGCAACACGCAGACATCAAAGTAATATTGCTTACCATGCCAAACTGCTGCATGTCCATCCCACAGAGTTGCTACCGTCTTCCTTGCACCATCCCATAAATTATGAGAATAGGCTTCTTTTAATACATTCTTCCTCTTATAAATGTGTAAGAAAATAATAGTAAGGTAGAGAAGAAAAATGGTAAAGTAAGGAAGTATTAAAAGTATTAGTGGTGTAAAAACCCATAAAAGATAATTTGCAAAATTCAAATAGTCCTCCAATTGCTCTACTCCAAACCATTCTTCAAATATGTGAATCAGACAGCTCATATAGGGCATAGAATCCTGTCCTGTACCACAGGTTTGATTTTGGTCTATCATTTTTCTTTAGGTGAAAATGACAAATTCAGTCTCTGTCTTCATTGTCATAACAAGTCTTTAATTTTGCCACTAGAAGAGAAAAATAATCCATTGTTATTTTTTAACAGCTAAAAAGTTAAATGTTTTAGTCAACATAAATACTCTTTAGAGTCATTAATACCAAAAATGAGTACATTGTTAATGGTTAACTTCGGTGCACATTTAAATGTAAAAACTAGAAGGTTTCATTTGTCCATTCATGTAGTATATCAGATTTAGCTTTTAAAGTAACTCACAAGTTATAATTGGGAGATGAAAATAAGCCTGATGAAGAGTGAAATTTCAGACTGATCTTAATAATTTGACTTTTATCTTAAGCAGATCATACTGACATTAGTATCTTATACCACATTATATTGAGATAACTCTGTTCTTCACAAACCATCAATATCTAATTCAATAAAAATAACCCAAATCTTCAGAAAATGATGACACACATTTTTGAACATTATATTTTACAAGTAGGTTTACAGGAAAGTTCTCTGTCATTTTGATGTATGTAATAATAAAAATTTATCAGTATCATTTTTATTTTATAGTCACTAAAATTTCCCGTAAATATTAAATGACTGAAAATATAGACATACAACAATTTTATGTCACTCTCTAAAACAGTCACTGAAACTTACCAGAAATTATGGTAGATAAATATCTTGTCCCAAGTATCTATGCATGTAATCTAGAAAACACAGTATACAAATAGAAGAACAATATGATTTAAAAGAAAATAAACCATTAATACCTAGAGTTAGAATTCCCATAAAATAGCAAGAGACATACACAAATTTGTGACAAATATGAATATAGCCTATGCTAGTATATCACAACTAAAAATTATACTCATGCTACCAATGCTTTAGTGAGGATACATCTATACACTCTTTAGTGCCACTATTTAAAGTCCCATCTGATACTTTTTTAAAAAATTCAGATCTATGGAAAACTTTGCTTCTTCAGAGAAAAAGTATGAAGTTCAGATGTGTAAGTGTCTACATCTCTTTTTAGTGACTTTGCCAGATAATAAGCTGATGATCAAACACAATATTCAATGATACATTTATATCAGCCCTTACAATCATGATCTACATAAGATTGTCTTCTATTCTTAGAGACAGTTTATCATTATTCTATACAATATAATCATAATGAAAATAATCTCAAATCCTTTGCAGATGAGCAGAAAATAAATGAAAGAGATGGAGGAGAGAGAAATACAAAAGCAATTATATGTTGTCTTTATGCCAAGATTACCTTGTTAACTGACTTATTAGAAGGATGTGCACTTTGACTTATTCTTCCCAAGATTGAGAACTTAATCTACTTTCCTTGTAAGCATTACTTGTGAGGAATCTGGGCCTATTACAACAGAGGTAAACACAGCACACATTAAGAATGACTTTTATTATCTCACATTTTAGTCAATCCACCTAAATAGTCAAATCATTATAATTTACCAGTGTTTGATCATTTAGAATCCAACATAGAAAACATTATTTTTTTAAAGTTTTCACTACTAGGATGGCTATAATAAAAAAAAATGGAAAATAACAAGTGTTGATAATGATGTGAAAAAATTAGAAGCTTCATACATTGCGGGTGGGAATGTAAAATGATGCAGCCACTGTGGAAATTAGTTTGTCAGCTCCTTTAAAGGTTGAGTTATCATATTGTTACCATATAACCCATCAATTCTAATCCTTGGTTTATATCCAAGATTGAAAACACATTCACACAAAAATTTGTGTGATGAATGGATAAACAAAATGTGTTATACCATATGACAGAATATTATTCAGCCATAAAAAGGAATGAAGTACTGGTTTGTGCTACAGTATGTATGAACCTTTATAACATTATACTAAGTTAAAAAAAAAGTCAAATACTAAAGGCCACATTTTATATGATTCATCTGAAATACCCAGAATAGGTTATCCATAGAGGCAGAAAGATTAGTGGTTGCTAGGCGCTGGGTAAAGGAGCAATAAGAAGTGACTGCTAACGGAAACAGAGGTGTCCTTTGGAGATTATGAAAATGTCCCTAATTAGGTAGTAGTGACGGTTGTATGACCTCGTAAATATACTAAAAACCACGGAGGTATATACATTTTAAAATGGTGAGTTATACCTAAACAGAAAATTTTAATTATTGTTACCATATTAAAATTTATGATAGCCTCTCAACTATGCTAAAAGGAGATTTTCCTAGGCCTAAAAACCACTTGTTTTGATGGTGTGACCCTTACTGCGTAATATAATTATCCCCAATAATCTAGTTTCATTTCCAATTTTTAATAGGATTGTAAAATTTTTTTAAAACCTCCCCCAGCCCAAATTGGAAACAGAACTATACCTCTTATCCTCAATCACATTCTGATTTATTATGCATACTTAACGCACACAGTAAAGGAGAGAAGAACAGGACATAGGCAGACGTCCAGTGAGAGTTTATGTGGAAACTTGCATGACGTCTAGCAGTCCCTTTACAGTGCCCCAGGGTGGTGTGCATGAAGCTCCTCCACAAATGGTCATTCTTGATTTTGATTTAAACCCTTTCAGGACAGAAAACTTAAAAAGTATCCCATTCCATCTTCAAAACCATTTATCGAAATACTAAAAAGATATACTTTCCTCACTATAACTTTTCCCTACTGGACCTAATTCTGTACTGTAGGATCTCTTCCACTAGACAATCTCTTAATTTCCAGGACAGCTCTCACAAGCTGGGAAATCCCCTTTCCCAGTCGGAATCCTAATCCTTCCAACCATATCTCAGACCTTGGTTTCACAACCTTTCACCGCTCAGGTCTCTTCTTGTGACTGACTCATCATTTGCTATTGAGAGGAGCATGGACAATAACCCACTCCTGCCAGAGAGAAAAATATACAGCAGGGTAAGAAGGTAACAGAGATCTATAGTAGAAAAGGAGATACAATGAGGGAAGGGAGTCACTCTGTTATAAAGGGTAGTCAGGGACAGGCTATCTAAGCACGTAAAAGCAGAGACCTTAGGAAGTGAGGAAGCAAACCATGTGGGTATTTGAGAGAGAATTCTTGACTAAAAGAACAGTAAGTACAGAGGATGTACACTTAGTGTGATCTGACGAGCAGCAAGGTAGGCTAAGGAAGAGTGACAGGGAGAGGTGTTGGAAATGGGCAAAGAAAGGTAGCACTGCAGAGCTTTGTAGGCCAGCTTTTATCTGAGGGAGATGAAGAAGGCATCAGAAAAGTGAGATTGCTTGATGGTTTTTAAATGACTGCTGAGTTGAGAATATACTGTACAAAGAGCAAATAGCAAGTTACTGCATTAATAAAGATGAATGGTAAAACCGGCTTAGACAGTGTGGCAGAGTGAACACCAAAAGATAAATCAGTTTCTGGATATATTTTGAAGATAAAGCCAAGATGATTTATTAATGAAAGGAGATAGAATATGAGTAAGAAAAGTCTGAGATAACAGCAGTTTTTTTGCAACATGAGTTTGTATCTTGAGCAGTGCTGCCATTCACTATATGAAATAGGCAAGTTACTTAAGATCTCTGCCTTATTTTCTCCATCTGTAAAATTGAGGTAGTAACAGTACCCACCTAATAAGACGGTTGTGAGATTGTTATGTAAAAAAAGCTTAGAAGAGTTCTTTCTATTATATAAGAACTAAGTATTGCTATCATCATCACACCTTGCTTCTGAAAAGATGGAGTTGTAGAAAGAAAGAACAGGTTTCTTTCTGGGGGTTGGGATGAAGATCAGGCATTCAGTTTTGAACATGTTAAGATTCTACTGAACATTCAAGTGAAGATATTAAATAGGCAGCTGGATATAAGCAGAGTGTAGCAGGAAGATCAGGACTAGACAAATATATCTAGGAATTGGCAACATGTAGACAATACAGAAAACCATTAAAGTAAGCATCCTTATAGAGACTGAATGTAAAATTAAAAAGACTTCCAGGACTGAGCCATGGGGCACTCAATGTTTTAGAAGCTGGGAAGACAATGAGGAGCCAGTATTCCTCCTTCCAGGAGTGGCATCCTGGAAGTCAAAGTAAGAAAGTGTTTCAAGAAGAAAGGACTATCCAGGTGTTTCAAATGAAGCTGAGAAGTCTAGGAATAATTGATCAATGGATTTTACAACAAAGAGGTACTGGAAAGCCCTAATAAGAAATGTTTTGATAGAGTGGGGATGAAATTTAGGTGGACTAAGTTCAAGGAAAAATGGAGTAAATGAATTGGAAACATAGCAAATATGGACAACTCTTCAGAGGAATACTGTTGCAGATAGGAGCAGAGAAAGAGGTAGGTATCTAGAGGGTATGTGGATCAAGTTTGTTGTCTTAAGATAAAAGAAATACAGCAGTTTTTAATACCAAGGATAATGCACCAATGAGGGAGTGAAAAGTGGATGATGCAGAAGAGAATATAACTTGCATCCTGTAGTAGACTAAGGCCAGAGAGGATAGAATACAGTGTACAGGAAAGGGGATGGCCAGAGAAGACTTACATAATTGGATTATTACTTCAGTTACTCAACAAATATTTATCAAGGAAGTAGTCTGTGCTTTACACTACTCTAAACACTGGGATCTACCAGTAAACAAAATAGATAGTTATATGAGAAAAGATATGTAAAGTACTTAAAATAGTATGACTCACATGTAGTTGACACCACCAACAAAATGCTAGCTAACTATAGAAAGATCTAAACTGTGTTCACCCACATCTTTAAAAAAAAAAATGTTGACACTGACCTCCTCCCAGGACCAATCTGGAATTACAACTAAATTGTGGTGAAATCACCTGGAACAAACAACTGAACAAAACCAAGAGAGGAGCCTTATAACCTCAGACAGACAGAAGAATCAGCTTTGGCACACCCTGACTGGTAAGGAGTGCGGTAGAGACTCGAGAAAGTGGGTGGGGCGGCCACAAGCGGCAGCACCAAAAGGATATTGAAACGGCCGGTTGGATAGATCCCCCAGAGAAGAGCAGGGTCTAAACTATAAGCACGGATCTCTAGCCTACAGCACAAGAGCCCAAAAAGTACACAAAAAACAACCACCTGCAAAAGCGGCAGGGTTGCTCTCTGCCAGAGATGGGCGCCAGACTTGGGGTTCCTCCCCTTTCCCCTCCTCCCCTCTCCACCCCACTTTGACAGATATGCTGAAAATATTAAGACTGCAATGTCTGTCTTCTCTCTACTTCTGCCTGGCTCCTCTCCCCCTGCTATTTACCACAGGCTGTACATGACTCTTTACCACTTTATTTTGATCCAGTAAAAACTATAATTCTTAAAAGAGGTTTTGTGGAAGATACAATATTGTTGCTGGTAAAACTACAGGTTGTTTCCTATAAGAAAAAAAATCCACAATAAAATACAGTCCTATGCACCACATATAAAGTGTCTTAATTTTCCCATTTGGAATTAATGTAACTTGTAAGAAAAAGTTAACAAGCTGAACTATCACCAATGACCAATGTTGATAATGTTGAAGAGGAACATTTACTATAATTGACTTTATAGACATTTAATACCAGTATATTTCAAAAACTAATAAATCAGAACAGAGTTTTTTGTTTGTTTTCTACAAAAACTTAAGGAAATATATCTAGTTTTAAACACTACCAGCACTTTTACCACCATGGATGGTAGCACATCCATTTCTTTTAGTATATGAGCTACGTTGAAGATATGCTGACAATGCCAATGAAAAGAAACACTCACTGAAATATAAATTAATTTTCCCTTTTCCTTTCTGCATATTTAACAATGGTTTACCAGGGGTTCAGTACTCAGTCTTAGTGCTTAAGCATTCTATTTTAAACAATCAATAGAGCTGAAATTTAGCTAATATTTCAGTTAAGATTTCCAGCAAACCCAATCATTTTATCTTTAAAACAATACCTCTTAGATTTAAGGCTTCAAACTTGAATTATCCTTCAAGGTTTTTTGTTTGTTTGCTTTTTAAGTTCTAGAATATCTTCAACTTCTAGCTAAGATTTTCTACTCTGATAATTACTGTTCTACCCTTATTTTCTTAAATCTATCCTCAGCCCCACTATGTTGCACATCTGCACTGGTGTATCTGTATCTGTAACTTACCTCCCTGAGTCACTAAAATAAGCATATCTCTGACATGAAAGGCAGGCAGCAGTAAGGATATGGGAATAAACATTTCATGTGAAAATTAATCTTCTCTTTCCACTCATGAGTAAATACAACCAAAATATTAGCGATGTTCTAAACATCTGGATTTTTACCTCAGTTCTTATATATTCTAAAGCAGTAATTTTCAACCCTTTTTATCTCATGGCACACATAAACTAATTACTAAAATTCTGCCGGACACCAAAAATATATTATAGTTTTTGCCAATCTGACAAAAAAAGGTGTAATTTTGATTCATTCACACCAGATGGCTCTTGTTGTGTTGGGTATTGTCATTTTTTAAAATTTGATAATCTAAGGGAAAAGAGGTCAGTGCCCCTGACTAAATAGTTAGGAACTGCGTATTTTAAAAATTCTTGGGGCACACGGGTTGACAATCACTGTTCTAAAGAAATGCCAATGCCATCTCAGCATTGATAGGACAGACCAAGTCCTAAACACTCCAACAAGCTTCAAGTCCTGACCTGCTTCCTTGAGGAAGCTGCCTGGGCAGTCTCAACCAACACCCCACCCCAGGCACGGACCGCTTTTTACAAATCTAGCAACAGTGTTCCAGTTTGTTATGCGAACATGCATTTTTCTTACTAATCAGCAGCATGAGAACAGAGACTTGTTTTACAAGCTGCAAACCCAAGGGATTGAGACAGTGTCAGCACCCCCTACAAAGTATGTACCACTCAAACTATTAATAACACATGTGAGAGGTCTGATTTAGTGTTTCACTTATGATGTCATTTAGTCCTTTCAGTAGCCCTAGGAAGCAGGTACTATTTTTTAATTATTATTTTTTCTATTGTATTTTTTTCCATTACCATTTAGTGCCCTTATACGCTGTCCCCCCTCGCCCGCAATCGCCTCACGACTGTCCGTGTCCATGAGTCCTTTTTTCTTTTTGCTAAATCTATCAACTCCCTACCCTCCTCGCCTCCTTAGCTGTCATCCTGCTCTAGGAGTCTGTCTCTATTTGGAAGCAGGTACTATTAATCATCCCTATTTTACAGATGATCACCATGAGGCTCAAGAATTTAAGTCGCGCTGCCCGTGTCACACAGGGTAGTAAAAGGAGTGTAAACCAGGATTCCAAGCTTGATTTGGTCTGAAAGCGAGCACTCTTAACCATTACCCATGTGGCTCTCAACTACATTCGCGTGATCACCACATAATTATATTTAGCTTTTATACACAGTAGGGTCAATTCAGATTCCAGAATCAGAGAAATCACTGAGCAAGCGCAGAGGCCTCTAGTGACGTTGGAGACCCCTCGCCCCACCACTAGGAAGGGAAACAAGCCGAACTGGAGTGTTTTGAGATGCGGGGCGAGGTGAATGTGTTCGTTGTGACCCAGACAGAACCTCCCCTTCCCGCTACTCCAAGCCTGAGCCCAACGCCAAATCCGGCGGAAAGCCCAACCCACCCACGCGCCCCGGCCAGGAACTCGAGGCGGCCCCGGAGGACTAGACACGCGGCCTTGGAAGCTCGCCGCGCGGCGGGACTGACGTGCCCCGGATGCCGGGCTTAGAAAGAAGCGCTGGGAGACCAAGGCGGGGACCGACGCACCTCGGGCGGAGGAGGGGAGAACAGGCTTTGCCCTCACCCTTCAACAGTGGAGGCAGCTCTTCTGTGGCTTTGCAGCCGAGGGAAGCAGAGAAATTTGAGTGGCCGATTCCCCGCAAGCAAGCCTGAGAGGAGATATCCAAAAAGTGGCTACAGCCGGGGAGACGTTGAGTGTGACACGGCCCGCCTCCGCCCGGTCCCTTCCTATGGTCTTCCGGAGCCACTTCCGGTAGCGGCTTCCTAGCTTGCTCGAAATCGACGCACCACGCTCCCGCCTGAAGCTGCCCGGGGCAGATACCTAACTCCTCGCACCCCGGGCACGCCGGCGAGTCCTCCTTTCGGTCTCCAGTAACCCAGTCCGTTTAGCTCCAAGCTTCCTCCTCTGAGTAAAATGTGCTGCGAGAAGTGGAGCCGCGTGGCCGAAATGTTTCTCTTCATTGAAGACCTACAGGAGGATAATAAGATCCTTTGCCTTTGCTCTAGGGCATTTGTGGAGTGAGTAAAAACTTTGCTCTTCCTTTGTAGCAAGATCATTTCCCAGGAATGTAGGTGGCGCAGACTAGTTAAAATGGATGCACGGAACCACGGCCATAGTATTTGACCCCTGGACAAAGTGATGTTTAAGAAAAAGGAGAGAAAATGTCCTCGGACTTTATGGAATGGTGGCCTTCTGCCATTAAGTGAAGGAGTATATCTACTTTGCAGGCTGTTGTGAGAAAAATGTGATAGCTGATATATATCATTGTATATTTATAAATGAGGGTACATTTAAGAATTGGGACATGCAATGTAAAAATGAACCCTCGTTAATGGTTGTGACATCACAAGGTGAAGGTTTGAAGATGAGTAACTTGTTTTGGTTAGTGTCTTTTTTAAAACCTTAAAACTTATTAAAGCACAAATGCACATACATAGAATTTATGAGGTAGGAGATCTAACTATTTTTACATCGATTTTTAAGCTGTATTTTATTTTTGGAAAATATCTGGGGTAAAAATTACTGTGCTTGTAAGATACCTAGTGGGTAGGGAAAGAATTGCCTAAAGAATTGGATTCTAGGGATGGTTTTCTTTATATTAGATGTGCGAGTTCATCTCTAAAGGAGGTATATTTTCCATAATCAGCTCACAGGCTTATAGCTAGATTCAATTTGTGGAAGTGAATTTTATGTGAGAGACTTTCAATATAGTTTAATGTGATAGAGTTTTAGTTTGAAGAAATTCTTGCTAGTCATCATGTGTCTTTGTGGAGTAATCTGAAAATCAGAAAAGAAATGAAAAACTTAAATTTAATGTGAAAAGTATTTTTGTATTCATGTATCATATATCCATTCAAGGAAAGATTTTTGTGCTCCTTTGTATTAGGTACTAGTAGGCACTGGGGTACAAGACACAGCCCTTCTCTACACATTTGGAGTGTACTTACTGGCAAAGGAGATCAATATTAAGATAACTTACATAATTATTTGGCTAATTAAAGTTGTAAGTGCTATGGGAGCGAAGTACAGGATGCTAGATAGCAACAACCTAACTGTTCTCCACAGACCACAAAGATTTTTTTCACGAAGTAGCATTTGAAAAGAGGTCTAAAGGGTGAGGGGAAGTAAAGTGGGTATGTTTGAGTGGGAGGAAGCATTTTTGCAAGCAGAACTCAGTGTAAAAACCTTGAGGGAGCAAGCTCATAAAACTGAAACAAAGGCAGGGTAAAAACATGGGAGTATTTTGTGGAAGATAGGATCAGATTTTTTTTTTCTTTTTAATTTTATTGATTTTGAAACCTGAAAAGTCGGTGTTCATGCTGTCACTCCCAGAATCAATTACTACACAGGAGAATTGAATCCTTATGGGTTCTTCATTCAGGTGGCCAGTGATGTGAGAAGACAGTGGGTTATGTACCCTGGAAAACCATCTTAACATCTCATTTCAAGCCAACCTTTTTATAAGGAGAAGAAAGGGTAGGTAAGGGGTTTGGAAGAAAGGTTAATTGGATAATAGTTGCAGTCCAGTGGTGATATTCCTAGTACTTTGGTCTGTTGATCAGCAATTCTTTTCCTGCCTCACTGGAACTGTTCCCTCCCTAGAACACAGTGGCTTAGATACCATCTCCATTACTTGCTCCCCTGGGAGCTCAAAGGTAGAATTGCTTGACAACCTCCTAGAGTCACTGGTCTTGCATTCCAATTTTTGGAACAGCAGCTTCCCACGTGCATTAATCACTTAAGCCTGTCAACTAAGGCTAAAATCTTCAACTCTTGAGTTCCCCTATCAATTTTAGAGAGGGAGAGGAAGGGATGGGGGGAGACATTAACCTGCCATTCCACCTCATTCACTCATTCATTGGTTGATTCTTATATGTACCCTGACTGAGGATCGAACCTGCAACCTTGGCATATAAGGACAATGCTCTAACCAACCGAGCTGCAGCCTGGGGGATGGTTGCGGGGAGGAGACCCACTTAACCATTTTCCAGGCAACACATTATGGCTTGGATAAGGATTGGGAGCAGTGGAAATGGAGAAAGAAGAGAACACAGGAAACTGCTGAGTTTAAGGAATCGGATTGGATGTGAGGGAATGAAGGAAAGATAAAGGATGGATAAGGGGAGAATAGGTCAAGAGTAACTCCCCAGTTTCTGGCTTGAATTGATGCCTCTCACTGCAGTAGGGATCACTGGAGAGTCATGATGGGTTTTTATTTTGGGACAGCAATGAGAATATAATCAATTTTGATTTTCAAGTACTTATGAGATAGGCAAGAACAGATATTATAGGTTGTTAGATATATTGGTTTGAAGCTCTGCAGATGCCTGGGCTGGTCTTAAAAACTTGAGCCATTCTAGTATAAATAATAGTTGAAGTCATTGATTCAGCAGTTGGGCTGGGGGAGAGTTGAAACCAGAAAAGTCATCATTCGCGTTGCCTGTCACTACCAGAATCAATAAGTAGAGACAAAGATTGAATCTTTATGGGCACTTTATTTAGATGGCCAGTGATCTGAAAAGAAGGCAGGTTTTCTACCCTCCAAAACTGTCTTAACATCTCCTTTCAAGCTGATCTTCCTATAAGGAATAGAAAGGATAGGTAAGGAATTTGGGAAAATGTAAGAGTTGCAGTCCAGTGGCGATTTTCGTAGTACTTCTTTATCTGTTGACCAACAATTCTTTACCTGCGCGCCTCCATGGAACACAGTGACTCAGATACCATATCGATTGCTTGTGGGCCTCCTGCAGTCCTGTAGGGCAAATATTCCAGTTCCTGGAACAACAGCTTTCCACATGCATTAAGCCTTTTGACCACTTAAGCCTGTTGACTATAACTAAAACTAAAATCTTTAACTATTGAGTTCCCCTATCAGAATGGGGCCTATCCTTGAGGACTTCCAAATTTTTTAAAGATTAAAGGAAAAGAGATGTATTAACTGAAAAAGAGGTAGAAGACAAACTCAAGTATACTGTCACCAAACCTTTGAAGGAGGGAGTACATTGGAAAGCTGCTACAATACCAAGCAAAATGAGGACTGAAATATATCCACTAGAAATGACGATTCTTTTTTAAATATACAGAATTGATAACTTGCTAATTATTTTTACACTTCACACTTTTCTCTCCATTTAAGCATTCTAGCCACCCCCTAAAGTATGTCTTGTTATTCTTATTTTATTGAATAGAAAACTGAGTCTTGGTAGTGGCCTAAAAAAGAAATTACACAGCCAGGTAAGTGGAGGTTTGTGTGACTTCACAGTCTTTCCACTATCCCACTAGTTAGTCTAGAACACATGATTTTATTGAATCTTTCTGACTGAGCTATTTAAGTGGTCTAAAGTCACTAGAACACTGGTGGCTTGTTAAAGTACTTTAGCATAACGTATTTTAGTTGAGATAGAGAACTGTTCTGAAAACTGAAGAGCCTGTATTTACCTCTGACCATACCACTGTAACAGTATCTAGTGGTCTCTAGTTTTTTATATATAGAACAACAAAATCATTTGATATATTTAAGACTCATTTTTTCCCTTTGCTATTTGAAACTAAGCCACAGTCACTTTACAGTAGAGAAATTGCTACTTGTACTTAAGAAATTTCTAAGAATCATTTATTCAGTATGTATTTTGGCCACCCATGTGTCAGGTACTGGGGTAAATAGATGACGTAGGCATGGTAGTGATGATTGTTTTAGTCAAAGGTATATTAATGCCTAGTCAGGCTACTAAGGGAGCATTATCTTAATAGGGTGACTACAATGCAGGCTTGGTCTCCAGCTTTATAAGTCAATAGTTAAGGTTTCTTTTGTTCCTACAAAGTGCCAGGTCCAGATACTCACTAAGAATTATTATGCTCTGTGGCATGTGTTACACTGATCAAACTTAAAAACTGTTTTTTAAAGAACACTTAGCAAGTATTACAGGAACTTCTTCAAATACCAAGCTTCAGAAATATACCTTTCCCGGGGATGACTGCTTATGGCTATTATTGAAAGTTGCCCTAAGTTGGAAACAGTTTTCATAAATATTTGAGAGCTCGTATCATCGCTCTTGTTGCTAATCTTTTTCTTTTTTTATTGATTTTTAGAGAAAGATCTATTTATTGGCCCACTTATTTATGCATTCTTTGGATGGTTCCTCTATGTTCCCTGACTAAGGATTGAACCCACAACCTTGGTGTATAGGGATGATGCTCTAACTACTTGGCCAAGGTCTTGTTGCTAATATTTATGCCTCAGATTATCAGTAGATTTAGGATATACTAGTAATAACCTTGGACACCTTTTTCACCTCTCATTCATGAAGAAGTGTTTTTCTGCTCCTTCCTCTGGACCTGGTCTGACCTAATAGGCTGGCCCATTCCCCGGAAAGCATGCAAGCTAGCACTGTAGGCAGGACCAAGGAACTCACCAGAAAAGAGTACCTGGCTGTTGGATGTACAGGCCAAAAAAGAAGAGTCAGCTTGCATATGGTACCTCCTTCTTAGCCTATAGCCTTTGGAGTCTTGGTGTTCTCTTCATGAAGCCACCTTTCAAAAAAAATAAATAAATAAAGGGATGAATATGAGTTATAAAATATAAAAAGTTTAGAAAAATTATCATGCTGTATCTGTAGGAAGTTGTGACTGTATTTCAATTAAAGCAATGTTAAAACATTTATGATATAAATCACCAATTACATTAAATTACATTGAATTTAGTATTTTTGAACTAAAATGTGCATTCTTTT